CGGCCAGCTTAGGCCTAATCCCCCGGGGTGCGGGCCTAAGCCAGCAGGTCGTCATTCCCTGAGGATTCCCAGACTGCGAGAGGACACAGGCCAGGCTGAGGGACCCTCCCGAGTGCACAAATTTTTGTGCACCGGGCCTCTAGTGTTATTTATATTTCTCCATCTGACTTTTTTCACTTAGATGGACCTAGAGCAGGGTGGAGGAGAGGGCCATACAAAAAATTATCAACTTAAAGATTAGCCTGCTCTATTCGGCCAAACTTTTAATTAACTCACCCCTAAGGCCTGGGCAGGGCCAGACCAAATGATTTTGAGGGCCAGGCATTTCCCATCTCTGACCTAGAAGGTATTATGCTATGTTGTCACAAATGACAATTTTCATTCTTTTTCATGTCTGAATAATATTTCATTGTTTTTATATACCACATCTTTATCCATTTGTCTATCCATGGACACTTAGGTTGCTTCCATATCTTGGCTATTACTAGTAATTCTGCATTGAACATGGAATGCATATATATTTTTGAGTTAGTGGTTTTGTTTTCTTCAGATAAATACCCAAAAGTGTGATTACTGGGTAATCACATATCTATTATTAATTTTTTGAGCAATCTTCATACTGTTTTCCATTGTTGATGAACTAATTTACAATCTCACCAATATTTACAAGGGTTCCCATTTCTCCACTTTCTCACCAGCCTTGTTGTTTGTTGATTTATTCATTCTGACCGGTGTGAAGTGATACCTCATTGCAGTTTTGATTTGCATTTTTCTGATAATCAGTGATGTTGAGCATCTTTTCATATATCTGTTAGTCATCTGTATGTCCTCTTGGGAGAAAAGTCTATTCAGGTCCTCTGCCCATTTTGTAATTGGAGTGCTTGTTTTTGATATTAAGTTGTATGAGATCTTTATATATTTTGCATATTAACTTTTATCAGATGTATCATTTGAAAATATCTTCTCCCAATCAGTCAGCTGTCTTTTTGTTTTGTTGCTGGTTTTCTTTGCTGTGCAAAATCTTTTTAGTTTGAGGTAATCCCATTGTTTGTTTGTTTTCTTCTGTTTCCCTTGTTCAAGGATATATACCCAAGAAGATATTGCTAAGAGCAATGTCAATTTCCTGCCTCTGTTTTCTTCTATGAGTTTTATGGTTTCTGGTCTGACATTTAAGTTTTTAATCCCTTTTGAGTTTATTTTTGTATATGGTATAAGAAAGTGGTCCAGTTTTATTTTTTTTTTGCATGTACCTGTCTAGTTTTGCCAACACCACCCACTGAAGGAACTAACTTTACCCCACTGGATATATTTGCCTCCTTTGTCATAGATTAATTGAACATATAAGCAAGGATTCATCTCTGGGCTCTATTCTATTGCATTGATCTAACTACCTTTAAAAGTGAATCTGATGCCCTAACCAGTTTGGCTCAGTGGATAGAGCGCCGGCCTGCGGACTGAAGGGTCCTAGTTTCGATTCTGGTCAAGGATATGTGTCTTGGTTGCGGGCACATCTCCAGTGCGGGGGGGGGGGGGGGAGGGAGTGCAGGAGGCAGCTGATAGATGTTTCTAACTCTCTGTCCCTCTCCCTTACTCTCTGTAAAAAATCATAAAATATATTTAAAAAATAAAAGTGAACACGACATTTTTCTCCTGAAAAATTAAAATGAAGAACCAAATAAGTTAATTTCTATATGGTTTTCATTGTCAAGTTTACTATCAGTACGCATGAGGATTTAATGGATCATTCCTACATAGAAAACCTTTTCCTAAAGAAGTATTCTGGAATTAATAAATTTAGTAGCATTGAAAGCGGTCTATGAGATTTTTATAAATCTGGAGAATGAACATTTCTTAAGGGAGTTCCTAGAGATCTTTATTTATTTATTTATTTTAAGAAAGAAAATTCTGGGCTAAACAAAATTAGGCTGCTTCCCTCAGAACCTTTCATGTGTCTTATGAATATCTAAAGGTGGTGCAGTAAAAGTCCAATTTTACACTCATCCTTTCTTGGAACCACTTTTTCAGACTAGCCTCTGAAGGCACCAGTGCACATCAGAACAGACTTTGGGCAGTGATGGTTCGGGTAATTTCCAGAGTAAAGGGCTAGTGCTCCATCTCATCTGTTTAACTCCTAGAAAATTTCTCCTCTTTCAAACAGCTCTCAACAACTATATATTTAAGATAATGGTGCCAGTTTATAAGCATGACTTTATTAGAGTGAGATGGGATAAAAAAAATAAGATTTTTGTAATGAGATAACATTTTATTTTAATTTTCACCATTTATATACAAACACAACACACACCACAAAACAGTACAATTTCATAGTTAATATGTATAGGTCCATAGTTTCATGCTCACATATTTTTAAGTGTTACATATATTAGCAAGTTTCACAATACATCATTATTCTTAGACAGAATCATTAAAAGACACCTAAAAATCTTAAAATATATGATAGTAAGTCACAACTTCTCAACAAGAGCAACAACAAAAATAGTGAAGATTTAGGAATAAGTGGTAGTCACTTAGGTGTTTTTAATTTGTTTTAACATTTTTCATTTGAAGCCACAATATCCACACAGCACACAGGGACCTGCTACCATATATTCACTGAAGCACCGGAATGCTGAGTGGGGGGCAGGTACAGATACTTCAATCACTGCTGATGGAAGAATCCAAAATACGCTGTAAAAACTTTGGGAAAATGACCGGGCATGTTGGAACTGAGCACTTGTACAGGGTGGAACATCTGTCAGCAGATCTTGAGAAACTGGGAGCAAAGAGATTTCTTAGGCTTCAGGCTCGTAGTCTTGATAACCTCCCTAATATTAGGAGAATCAGAAAAACAACATGCGGAGTTAGTGTAAGTGATCAGTAATCAAGGATTTAGGGTGAATAAGATAGGATATGGCTTGCCACTTTGAATAAAGGTCATACTCATTAACAGTTCCGGAACTATTCTGCTACACACAATATTGTTGATAGTTTTGTCTTCATGTCAAATATAAAAGTGAATCATGCTGGTGGTCAGGGTAGCTGAGCTCTACTTGTACATATGCCACTGAATGATCATATAATCTCATCCTGCAGGACAAATTGGTTGCTCTGTCTGGCTCTCAGTTTCTCAAACTGTAAAAATCAAATCAAGTGGCCTATAATGCTTATTTCAGTGCTAAGATGCTCTAATTCTTAGAAGGAGACTAAGATGTTTAAAGGCAAGTTATGTTTTCTCTCCTTTTACTCTCCCATTTGAAATTTCATCTTCATTTATGGCTTCAATTATTATTTTTTAAATATTTTATTGATTTTTTACAGAGAGAGAGGGAGAGGGAGAGGGACAGAGAGTTAGAAACATCGATGAGAGAGATACATCGATTCAGCTGCCTCCTGCACACTCCCCACTGGGGATGTGCCCACAACCAAGGTACATGCCCTTGACTAGAATCGAACCTGAGATCCTTCAGTCTTCACAGACCGACGCTCTATCCACTGAGCCAAACCGGTCAGGGCCATGGCTTCAATTATTACTCCTGTTCCCCCAAACCCAGCCCAGCCATACAGTATATGGATACATCCACAATAAAAATATTAATGGCCTTAACTAAAGTGATCAGATTAGTCCTTCTAAAGAACAATTTGATATCAGGATTCTGCTCAAAATCAAACAAACATACCTTTAACATCTCAAGCTGCTTTCTGAATAAAGCACACATGTAAATCAAAAGGTTGTTCTAGCACTCTACAATTTGTCTTTGACCCATTGCTGAAGCTGTTATCTGTCACTATTCTCTCTGCTCCCTAAGCTTGACTCATGTGTAATTACTCACTGTTCCTCTGACACATCTTTATGCATTCTCAGATATGCATGCCTTCACTTCTGATGTCCCCTTGTGTTAGAATGTCCTTTCTTCATTTTGGCCTATCATATCTCCCATCAACAACATCGCCTCTATAAAACCTCTCCCCATTGATCTAAACAGACCCATTAAACTATTAGACATTTTTGCTCCTGTGATACCTGGTGCATAGAAGACAGTCAATAATGTTTGTTAAAATAATCATGACAAGTAAATGAAGGAATGAATTTGTATTTGTTTTTAGCAAACCGACAGGAGTGCCTACTTCTGGATCCTGGTGCTTTCAATTACTCTGATTTGTATTTTCTGTAGTGTTCAGCATTGTGCCACGCATAAAAGTCCCCACAATATTGGTGAAATCTAATTAGAGAAAGAAGCAATTGAATCTCAATTTCTATAAATGGGATTACTATCAATATGCCTTCTAATGATGCCGTGAAGAATAATGTATAATCTAACTACAATTCCCGTGAACTCAATGTTTAGTAAAACAATAACACATTTTCTTTTTCCATGACACCTGGTTTCGGAATCAGTGTAACACTGTCCTCATAGAATTAGTTGGAACATAAAATGGAAGAGGATTTAATTAGTATTGATTGTAATTAATTGGTGCTGCTGTAATTATTCTTTAAATGTTCAGCAGAATTCACCAGTGAAGGCATCTGGTCCCGGGATTTTCTTTGTGGGCAGGTTTTTAACAATAATTCAGCCTCTTTACCTTGTTATACATCTTTTCAGATTTTCTGTGTTCTTTTGAGCAGTTTCATTCATTGCCGGGAGCCGGTCCATCCTTGCTGTTTCAAGGGACCTGGCATATATGGCATACTGTTCTTAATATGTTTGTTCACCTTCTTGGCACTATGTGTTTTAACCAAGGTCACCTCTCTGAGAAAGGCTGTTTCCCCAGGTAGGGATTTTTCCCTGAAGTTAGGGAGGGAATAAAACCCCCTAACTAAGTGCCAGGCGGGTAGTTACTCACTGTAACTGGGTAGTTAATCACTTTAACTATGAACAATCACGCTTAAGCAACATAATCTTTACTCCCTGGAATGGAGATAAGAAATGCCCTAACCTTTGGAATAGAAATTGATAGGATTGAAATCAACTGGTATAAATACAGATGTAACAAGACAACAGGACACAGAACCTAGAGACAGAACCTAGTGAGAGAACCGAACACAGAACTTGGCTAGAAGACCTAGACAGAACTTGGCTGGAGATGCTGGCTACAGAACCTGGCTGAAGAACCTAGCAAGAGAACGTGGCTAGAGAACCTGGACAGAACCTGGCGACTGAACCTGGCTGGAGAACCTAGCAAGAGAACATGGACACAGAACCTGGCTGGAGATCCTAACCAGAACTTCGCTGGAGATCCTGACCAGAGCTTGGCTAGAGATCCTGGCTAGGCTGATGATCACCTGAACGCTGCATCCATGTCATTCTGTCTTCGCCAACTCCGTCCACACCTTTGGGGACCCCTGGACCTGCTGGGGTTGGACCCCAGCAATTCATCTACAAGTATTTTTAAAATTTCCCTTGTGATGGACTTTCTATTAAAGAAACTTTCATTTTCAAATTAAAATAAAATTACTAAGTTATGCTATTTAATATGCTACACTAAATTATACCAGTTGTTGCAAATCATTCATTTATCATCTTTCTACTGTATTACTTTTTGGTAAACTCTTTTACTAAGCCAACACCCCACTGGGACTGTATGACAAACAATTGCTTTCTTTTGGCCTTTAGTTCATTTCTCTAGCTTTCCATTTTGAATTTTTATTTTAGAATGTAAGGCTTCTAATAAAATAATTCTCTAATGCAAGTTGGCAAACTTTTTCTGTAAAGGGCCAGCTAGTAGATATTTTAGTGTGTGAGCCACATATGGCTTCCGTTGCTGCTGCTACTTTTATTTTTTAACTACCCTTCACAAATGTGAAAACCATTTTTAGCTTGCAAGTTGTCCTCATAAAACATATCCTGGATTTGGCCGACTTGTTCATCGAGACTAGAGAGTAAGTTGTTCTCACCAAGGAGAAATGTAAGGGAAATCTGAGAGTGACAGATTTTGATAGTGCTTATTATAAAGACCTAACTAAAACTCCTAAGTGATACTTTTGGCGTTTTATGTATATAAACTTTTACCTCAGAAGGCATTTCATAAGTCTCGTCAGGCTCTCCGGGCACATCTTCCAGAATGCCTTCCTGTGGAGCTCCTTCTTCACTCTAATGTTTAAATGGAAGCACAAAAAGAATAAAATGAGGTACCATTCTCTGGTTTTTAAAGTCACAAACATTTTGAAAACATCCTATATATAATACTGGCAGGGATGTCACAACAATGGCACTACTTAACATTACTGCTGGCATCTTCATCTATACAACGCTGTTGGAAACACATTGTGGCAACATGTACTACTTACCCTAAGCATCAACAACTTTCTTGCCTAAGTAATTCACTGTCCAGGAAATAGCCCCAAAATATTTTTCACAGAATCAGTGACAACAGTAAAACATTGTTAATCTAAATGTTCAATGGATGAAGAAGAGCTAAGAAAATTATTATTCAACTACTCAATAGATAACTATGAAGACATATATTAATGTGACATGAGAATTATATAACAAAATAAAAATGTACTTATGATAAAATGTTTGACAAGATATCAAGTATTATATGCATTGTGAATACAATTGTGTAGAATTCAGATGCAAAGGTAAAATCAATTGAAAGAAAAGAGTATTTTTTAAAAATAAGTTTTAAGTTATAACCACTATGTAAAAGCATATATTTTTGTAATTTATTTTTAAATTATGGCAAATAATACTTTTCTGAAATTTCACAATTTAAACTACATATATATTTGGAGGGAAAAAATCAAATAAGTAGACAATTTTCCAGGTCTCTCCCTTAGAAATAGGATACTATAAAACTCAACCTGAAATGGTCATGGTTTTACCAGTGTTGTTCATTAAACACCATTATTTATTTATTTTTTTTGCTTTGCATTTATTCCAGCAAAAGCAGTTATGAAAAGATAAAGTTCATTGCAAATTACAAAGCAGAGAAGCAAGGTGAGCCTAAATGGACTTACTCGAAGAGTTCAAGTAGCCTCTCAACCAATGTAGCATATGTTTAAAATATGCCTGATGTAAATAATATCTCCTCATGTCTTCCTGGTAGAAGTGACAGGAAGAAGAAGAAGATAATGGCTGCCATTGACCATCAGATAAGGTCAAACTAAAGCTAATACCTACATTAGCTGGGCAGAGAAGTTTAAAGGTCACCTTCCCCTGTCCACCTTTCTTATTAAAAACCAAAAAGAGCTAGATTAGTACTTTGTGTAACAAAATTGCTTTTGTTCAATTGCATGACTTTTATTATACATTTAATGTAACTCACGATGGAGATAAAATTGCTTCCCCAAACCACCTTTTTATCCAACACCTACAATTATTTGTGGTCCTTGTTAAAGATGTATCCTAGGGTCCAGTGAATGTGTGATATGTTCCTTGGAAATCACTACCCAGTATTACCATATGTTTGTAAACTCTGTGGCATCATTTGGTACAGAAAATAGCAATGTACTTGCTGTCAGTATGAATAGGTCAGAAACAAATTTTTTAAAAGTCTCCCATTTTGAAGTCTGTAAAAGACTGCTGGCAACTGGTCAGGGTTTTCTAAGACACATTCCATGGTGATATTGATAATAACAGGGCTTCCCTCACTACAGGGCATCTATGCCTTAAACATTCACAGCGGTAGAAGCACTCTTCCCCACCGCTTTCTCACTGAGAGATATTTTGTGTGGAACCATTATTTTGCTGCATTGTGGGACAATGATAATCAACCCCTAATAACTCAACAGTTCACACAGTGGGGATGGAGGAGAGAGGAAGTAACGCTAAAAATAAATTAAGAAACTACCCAAAGAACTCTGACTTAAGAGGGAAAAAAGGCACCCCTAATCACTCATCTTAAGGAATCCAGCATTTTTGACATGAAATCAAGCACACAACTCCTATTCAAGTGAAAATAACACAGACTTTTAAAAAATGTGCAAAACCCCTTTTAAAATTGAGATTATATGATGGGTATTTCACTAAGAGCAGTACCATTTATTTTATTGAAAAACTAAAAAGTGAAGTAGGAGGGTATGAGAATCTTGTTTAAAAGTAAGCTTAAGATAGATTCAAATTTGGGGAGCTGGGGGGGCAAAGGGCATCCGATTCAAAATCAGATTAATTTCAATTTTTCTTAAAACAGCTAAGTAATTTTATAAAGAAAATAAAAATTTTAGAAAACCTGGGACAAGTACTAAATCTTTAAAACCAAAACAATATAGGTAGTTTAGAAATACCACCAGACTTTAAGTCCTAATGTTGTTATAGATAAAAATGCTAATGTAACAATCACATTTACTGTTAAAAGATTTAAGGAGTTTTCCAATGCATTCTAGTAATTAAATGCTGTGACATGAGAAACCATGAAAATTGGCACATTCTGATATAACCAATACCCAAAGAATGATAATAATGCTAAGGAGGCACTCCATAAACCCCATCTCTTTTCCCAGTTATGTCTGGTTTAATTACAGTTTAATTTTTATCATTGAGTGAAATACAGTTATGGTTTAGAGCTAGGGCAGAATTAAAGTGATGACTGGAATTGGTCCATTCACTGCTCTATTCCTTTAGGAATGCATCAAATATGGCAGAACCAGGATTAGTGTATAGGGGTCTTGTGGTTGGAGTCCATTGAAGGACATTGGACTAATCTGTTTCTTTGGAGGCAATTATGTAGACAAGGGGCAAAGAATTGCAACATCTACTTGTGTAGTGAGATAGATGTAAGTAGAAGGGCAAGGCATCAGTAGGAATTAAAGAGTGATAATAGTGGTACAGTCATAGAGACAAGTCTATAATTACGGTTTTTGCACTGCTATTTAAATTTTGCAATATTTAAGATTCTATTAACTTTCAACAAGATAAAACATTTCAAGTTTTGGCAATGTAATGGCCTGTTGTGTTCTATTCATAATTTTCTACCAACATTTACTACTCCCTTGTATAAAACATGCTCATGCCCTGACTGGTTTGGCTCAGTGGATAGAGCGTCAGCCTGTGGACTGAAGGGTCCCGGGTTCGATTCCAGTCAAGGGCATGTACCTCGGTTGTGGGTACATCCCCAGTGGGG